ATGACGACCCAATAAAAAGATTTCATTTTGAAGGGTATGACTACCCAAAAAATGCAATTTAAACCTTGAAATGGTCCACAAAGTTATTTGGACGAATATTAGGCATAAATATAAAATGATGTCAGTTTGGAAGGTATGACGGCCTAAAATAAAAAAAGATGTCATTTTGAAGGTTATGACTATCAAAAATGTAATTTAAACTTTGAAACGGTCCACAAAGTTGTTTGGAAAAATATCAACAATGAAACAGTCCAAAAAGTTGGTATGGACAAATATCAACAATGAAACGGTCCACAAAGTAGGTATGGACAAATATGGGGCATAAAAATAAAATGATGTCATTTTGAAATATATGACGACCCAAATTTAAAAGATGTCATTTTGAAGGGTATGACTACCGAAAAATAAAAGATGTCATTTTGAAGGGTATGACTACCAAAATGCAATTTAAACTTTGAAACGGTCCACAAAGTTGTTTAGACAAATATCAACAATGAAATGGTTCAGAAAGTTGGTATGGACAAATATTGTAAAGTGGGTTTATTTTATGAACAATGAAACATATTTTAACTTGGTTAGGGCCAACAATAGTATTGTACAAAAATTTCTCACAATTTTTCTCTTTCAACTAAAATTGACATCGAGGTAATTCCAATAGATTCAAGTGGTACCTCAAATGTACTTAAGCAACAACAAGATTTGTCCATCTTGCTATAAACAAAAGCTTAGAACTAGACCTAACATCATGTTTCAAGTGCCCTCACAAGAAAGAAACTTTCAATTTGTGCACATTTTAAGTGTTTTGATTTGGAAACATCTGGAAAGGCATACTCACACTCGAAAAAAAAATTTCAATGCATGCAATTGTGATACCATTGGCATGACCTTCATGTAAATCTCCGCTAATGTGGAACATTTGAATTGAAATCATGTAGGGCTTGTTAATAGCTTGTAATATTGTCTTAGGAACGGGTAAGATAGTCATTTGGGATTAAAGTGACTTATTCCTTCTTGAGCATTGCACTAAATAGATGCTTTCAACATTTATTATGCTTTTAGCGTTTGATTCTCTTTGTTGTCCCTTCCTTTTGCACTTTTGACTTCTTTGAAACTTTGATTGTCTGAGTTTTCCCTCTTTTTGAATTTTCTCCTTTTTGTTGGAGTGTTTTTGAAATTTTGCTTTCTTAAATTGGTGGGAATTTTGAACCCTTTTTTTTCTTCTGAAGTCATTTTTGTTTTCTTGACATTCAGGAACTTTGATAACTTTTGGCTTTGACAAATTTGAACTTTGTATCTTCTCTTATGACTTGCATGTCTTAAGTGTGCTCAAGAAAGTCTGGTCAAAAGACAGATAATGCGTTAAAGCACTCAGAAAAGGTATAAGTTAAGATGTGGTTGTCGAAAGAAAAGGTTATAGGCTCAAACCGGGGACATCTAAGGATTAACATCATTTGGTAGGTTTTGAAAGGCTCAAACGGATCAAAGAAGGCTAGCAATCATTTTTCAAATCAAACATTACTCAGAATTCGCCTCAATAACATTTAGGTCAAGTTCTAGATCAACAATGCCAAATAATTGAATTTGATTGAAAACTCACCACACAATGCACATGAAACAATGAATCTGATTTTGTTCTAATCTTAAATTATACAAGACAACATTTGCAAGTGTAACAAAGTATGAATGAGAGGTACCAAAAGAATTCATGGTTTAACAAGAAGTCAATCTTCATTATTATTGAAATTATTTTTCACATGCACACTTGAACTGTGTTGGCACCAACTCAGTTATAAATAATTTCAAAAATATAAACATTCAAAGAATGAAAAATAAATAAATAAAAAATCTTTTGAAGAAAGAATATCGAACCCAATAAGGGCTGCCTACGTATCTCATTGATAAGAATCAGGTTTGCGTAGTTCTTCCAAATATGACATAAAATTTATAAACAACAAATTACTTTTTGAAAGGAGAAAATAATGAGAACAAAAATCAATGAGCCACATTGAAAGGCGCGCAACCCGAATTGAACAAAATATTTTTTGATTTACTGTTTAAAGGAAATTTTACAAGGACGAATGAATCAGTGAGTCACTTTGAAGGGCGGACCACCTAAATTTAACAAAAGTAACAAAAATAAAATAATGAAATAATGAGTCGCGTTGAAGGACGGACTACCCACACTTAAAAATGCCAATTAAACTAATTTTTTCAATGGAGTATAATAAAAATCAGAGATATACAATGAATTTGACATCATGTACAAAAAAATAATGCAAAATAAACAAACCAACTCGGAGTGAAACCTCATAAATAGTGGAGTCTGCGTACAATCATGGTGAAATTTTGAGGGCATTCCTAAAAAATTTTGCCCCTGTTTCAGCTTCGACAAACCTCTGGTATTTAATACTGTAACAACTATCTCCATTATAAAATTTTGGAGACTTCCACAAAATTTTGCCCCAGTTTCTGTTCTTAAAATTTGGAAAACTTACGGGGAAGATGACCGAGCCTTAATGGCGCCTATGTAGCCCGTTGAAGAAGGAATCAGGTCAAACGTAGTTCTAACAGCTTGTAACTTGAATAAAACAAGACTTGAATTATTAATATTCTAAAAACAAGGTTAACAAAAATAACTTTGAAATAATGAACTATCATACATCACGTATAATAGATATATCGTATAATATACAAACAATGAGTGCTTATGTTATGCAAATATGTCTTGAGTGTCATGCTTTACACGATTTTTTGGTTTCGCTTTACAATAGCTGACTAAGAGTGAGCTTAAAAAGAGACTTGTTTACCCGAGTTGGAAAAACTACGAGATGAAGTATAATAAACAACGTGGGATGACCGCAAGCCAACTATTTGTTTATCACTTCCAAAGAATTTCGAAGGTGTTTTTCTGAAGAACAGTCGTGGAAAGCCACGTAACCACCTTTATCTTAATGCATTCTATTTACCATTTGGCAAAAATTATGTCATGAAATATAATGAAAATATATAATAAATAATGAATAAATAATTAGTACGACATGCAAATAATTAACAAAATATACAAGATATAATGAGTAACAAAATAAAGAATTGTATCTACAATTTGAAAAAATGAACCCAGAATGGTTAGAAGCTCTAATGTCCCTAGCGGAGTCGTCATTCTGTTGACATCGTTTGAATGGAAGCAACTTCGCGGCGACTCAATTAAAAAAAAGAATTGGTTAAAAGAAATTTGAAAAAGGGTAAAGGGGTCAAAAGTGGTAAAATGAGTTTAAAAGGATTAATGGGAGTTAAAGGGGAGAAGGGAGTCGCCACCTAATTTTTAGGAAAACGAGGAAACCGAATAACTAATTAACTTAAAAGAGAGTCCACGAAACCAATTTGATTCTAGGTAACGGGTTCAAGTTATTTCGAAGGGAAGGGGTTAGGCACCCTTCGAAATCCACAACTGTGGTTCCCGACTGAGTTCATTTTTTTCAAATTGAGGAGATAACAATAATATACCAGTAATATAATATACAATAAACAATAATAATAAAATAAAACAACAACATGAGAAACGGCCTAAGGTTTGCCTAGCATCTATATATACAAAATAATGAATTGTAAAATATAATTCGAACTCCTTTCGAATAACTTCAATGAAACAAGTCTTGGGTACCTGTAAACACACTTAGTAAAAGTGTTAGTAATAAATAAGAATGAATAAAATTGAAGATATGAAATAATAATTTAAAAAATAAAAATCCGTCTTACTAACATGGGAGGCTTTGGAAATTGACGGTAATTTCTTCATCGGCCAGATTTAACAATAAAAATATTAACATTAATAAAATTTCGTCTTTTAATATTGGGGATGCCTCCAAAACCGACGGAGAGTTTTTTCATTGGTCATTTAACAAATATATGTAATATAACCTGAACATCAACAAAACGTAACAAACTTATCCCAAGAGAATATGCAAAACAACAACCAAACTAAAACAACATAATTAGAAATGGAAATAACAATAACGTAATATATAAAAATTAAAAATAACATTAAAATAGAATAATAACAAAACCCTGAAAAGTTAAGATAGCAAATAGTTGACTAACAATTTTAAAATAATAATAATAATAAATAAATAAACATCAAACCGTAAAATAATGTTAATATTAAAACTACAATAAACACAAATATTAATTGACTTTTAGAACTACATTAAACTAAAAAAATAAAACAAGCTAGATATAATAAACAAAAAAGATAAAAGAGCTGGGAATTAAATAAAACAAGGCTAAGAAAATAAATTTACCTGAATCTGGGGGGCGAACTGGAACTACAAGTTTAAAGGAGACGACTCCACTTCCTCAACTCGAAAAACCATAAAACACTTTAAAATTTTTGAACTATGAGAACCAAGAATTCTCAAAATTTTATGAGTATTCTTTTGTTTTCCCCTCCAAATCCTCCTCTAAAAATAGTGAATGAAGTGAGTTTGTATAGAAATCCAAAAATCCTCAAAAAGGATGAAATACCGATGTAGGACTGTTGCAAAATTGAAAATTGTTTGAGAAATGATGTGGGAAAGGCAATTTTTTTTTGTTTTCGTTTTTGTATTTGGCTTTAAAATGTATTAATTTTAAAACCTTCGGACCAAAATTTGGTGTCAACACTTCTCATATCAGCTGTAAGGACCACATTCATTTTTAAATTTAAAAAACGAAAAAAGAAAAAAAAGAGCAGGCTTAACATGTCGCTCTATAAGAAACCAGTCACTACTACAGGCCTAATTATAGAAACATGATTTGTTTTTAGTTTAATTTTCACAAAATTATGGAGCGGTAAATCCTTTTTAAGCAAAGGATATTTGGTACCGATCAGGAAGTTGAGCAGTCAATTCACAATGATCATTTATGAATTTACCTAGCAAGTGAGAGACCCGAACTAAAACGAATAATATTATACTACATACTGGTAATAGAGACAAAAGAAATGTGTCAACTTTTACATTGTGCTACAAATATTCCTTATAGAGTTAGGTTTGGTTAATGGGAAAACATTATGACGGTAGATAGCTAGTTAAAAATTCTGTCGTACATATCTTATCTCTTCTATTTTTTGACAGAGAAATATTATTTCTTCCAACTAATTAAAGAAGAGGGATGACAAAACGTCATGAAGATGATGAAGAGAATGATGGCTCATTGCATACATCTATTACTATTAGAACAGTGAGGTACAGAGAGTGCCAGAGGAACCATGCTGCAGGTGTTGGTGGATACGCGGTTGATGGTTGCCGGGAGTTCATGCCCTCTGGTGAGGAAGGAACTCCTGGTGCTCTAAGTTGTGCAGCTTGTGGCTGCCACCGTAATTTCCGTAGAAGGGAAGTGGAAACTGAAGTTGCCTCAAATTGCTCCTCCCCGTCTTAAAAGAATGTTTTACCTTTATATATATATATATATATATAAATTTTGGTTGTGTTTTATGTGTTTAGGAACCAAAGGGAAAGATTGTTTCTTTTACTTTGATGTTCCATTTTAGGCTAACTACTTGTTTATATGAGTGAAGTTCATGGGAATGTATGTATAATGTACTGATTTAAATGGTTGATAAACCATATTATGTGTTATAATTACACAAATAAGTAGAGCTCTCAGACAAGAAAATTGCCTGTATGGTTGTTTAATTGCTTTTACATTTTAAAGTTTTTATTTTAACTACCTATAACTAGTGAACATTTCATGGATATTACACCTAAGTAGTTCCTTCTCTTGTTCGTAACACAAAAGGAAAACACAAGTGAAATTAATTAGAGAAGCATTGTTGCCTAAAAGGCCTAGGCTAACCAGTAAAGACAAGGAAGAGCTAACATGCACTACTTTGTATCTATCGGTGACCCCTAAAGTTGACATAAATTTTTCACTTAGACATGTTAATTAAGTTTTGGTCATTTTAACATTGTGTCATTTTAACACTTTTTTTTATCAATCAGTCAAATATATAAGGTGTGTATAACACACTCGCCGATGACATGTCAAAGTGACAAATAAATAAAAACATGTGACATGCGTTTTAAAAATAACTTTTTAAAAGACGATACCTTAGTAGAAAGAAGAAGTAGTCAATGACTAAATGACAAGTGGAATCTTTTACACAAAAATTTAAAAATAAAAAATACCCAAGCCTACCAATGTGTTTTCTCCATCACACCCACCCAAATATAGTCTTCTCCGCTATTCCCCCACCCACCCACCCAACGTCTTCTCCACCTCCGTCAACCCTAAACACCAACCCTTTCCCTGCCCACACATCTTCTTCACCCCTCCTCACCCATTGTTTTTTTTTATCAAAATTTTCCGTTAACCTTTTTTTTCCGACATCATCATGAATCGTGGCCCTTCTAATGGATTGAAATTTGTTTATTTAGTGATATATCATCATCTTGAAATTCATTTTTTTATGTGGTATCATCAAAACAATTTCTCCATGGAAGGAGTTTAAGTTTTGAGAGATTGTAGCTGAAAAATAAGGACGAAAATTGAAATGAATATAAAATAAAAATGATTAAATGAGTCATTCATGCTCTGGTATTGAGTGTATTACACTCACTATGTCATGTTAGTAAAAAATTTAAAATGACATAATGGGACATGAAATGATGTATCTAAAATAAACAAATCTTAATTAAAGTGTCAAAGTCAAATATTGATGCAAAATTTAGGAGCCCATTAACTGTTTAGGCCACTTTAAATTAAATTATGGTTAATTACTGTGTTTTATACTTCATCTATCACAATTTATCAAATACTATATATTTATTTAGTTTGTCTAAAAAAAGTACATCTTTCTATGTTTAATAACAATTCAACTTTAAAATTTATATTGATGATTGAATTATTGTCTCACAAATATATCTGACATGTTCTAAACAATTATTATGAAAGAAAAAAATTCTTTTATAGCCAAATACGGCGCTTAGTCAAACAAGTTCACAAAAAGTAGTACAGAGCAAATATTTTCTTATTCAACCACTGTAAACTATTGTTCTTTTTTTTACATAAACCATTGAGTGCAATTAGTAATTACTTCCGAATAAGAGTTTCTTAGAGAAATGATTTATGAGCTGCCGTATATTTTGTTTTATATTTGATAGAAATAATCATGCTTTAAGTTAAATATGACCATGGTACCATAAGATTGCATAATTAACCTTATTGGTAAATAAAAATACCATTAGTATTGTTCGCGCTTCAATTTTTCATCTCATTGATGCAGTACCAATATGTCAATTATGTTTTTAGACTAACTGATACTCAATTTCTCCTTAATAACTTATTCACTATTCCTTTTTTAGTTATTCTTAATTAATGGTTGATTTTGACGAATGAAGAAAAAATAATTATTTTTTAACTATTATACCTCGGTTAATTATTTGAATTTTTTTTTTAATTCACCTACTTCAAAATTAATAGAAATAAGATGATAAACTAATTATATTAATTATTATTTTTTTTAATAAGTTTTTCAATTCGAAAGTGAACAAGTAATAAGAAAGAGAATATATGACTAGAAAAAATTCTGTTGTGCTATTCTGTCGTGTCTTCAAGTTATTTTTGTCAGTCGATGTTGATGGATTGCTAACTCAAGTACTATGGATGGAATATATTGGTGAAAATGTTCTAATTACTTTAGGCTTGTGATTTCTATCCTTATTGCCACAAGGATATCCTTTTCATAGGGAAAATGTTAGTAAGAACAGTTGTAACTATTGTATTGTTACAATTTTCATCGTTAATGGCACTAAGTTATCCGTATGAAATGCCTATAAAGTAAATCATAACAACTAAATGGAATAATCGTAGATAGAACTGTGCTACCTTTAATTTAAGCTATAACGTTCAAATAATAGAGAAATCAATTTTTTTATTAAAAGGTTTTTAAAAATATATAGAAGTAGAGAGTATGCAACATCCACAAAAGTATGTTGTGTGAATGTTCGGTATAATTTGGAGGGAGCAAAGCATTAGGTAAATGTTAATTCTAATCAGGTATCTGTCAAATCAAAAATGACACATACTCGCAGGGTTTTTTTTTTTTTTTTTTTTGGATTTTCAGCATTTCCTTTCTGTACCAAATTGGCAGAATTTTCCAATGCCTCAAAGCACTATATATTAAAAACCCATGTTTTCCATTATCACTTATAGGACTATTTTATTTATTTTTTGTTTATGGTCACTTTACATTACCCAACTATATCTAACTCATGGTATCTTACATTATTGGCTGAGTTAATGAAGTGAATATATATATATATATATATATATATATATATATATATATTCTACAACTATTTTTGTACTCTTCAAGCTTTCCATCACATGTCCCAAGGTAATATTGACGCCCAATTATTCTAGATTCATGTTGTGTAATACATTCAAACACCTTTGAAAAAGTATAAAATAATCATAATAAAATATAAAATACAACTAAATTTGTGGAGCTTTAATCGCAACAAAATATTAAAACACAAATAATATATGGAGTTTAATCCACAGAATATGGCGAGACTATTACTCTTTAATATAATCAACACAAAGGGGCAATGGCTCTTGTGTAAAGTAAAATATTGAGAAGTTTGTTTTCTAAACTTAACAACTAATGATCTTAATATATTTCATCAATGAGAATGTGAAACTAAGGGAGTGGATTGGATCGTTACTTGATTCGGTTGCGTCAACAAAAATATAGTTAAGTAGTCTTAGGAACATCTGGAGTCCTGGTTCATCCAGAAGTTGTCACTCTAAGTACTTGCGATACTTGGGTCTTTGTTTGAGTAATTATCAACCTAAGCCTCTGGCAGACTATCTCCATCAAGCCTCGAGTCCTTTATTATACTCACGTATCAAATTACCGTGCTTAGTTCTTTTTCTAATCTTAACCTCTAATAGGTCTTTCATTAGAATTCATACAAGACAAAAGAACTAATCATAGACCACGATCTCTAACAAGGCAACTCCATCATTGTTACTCTCCTTTCTGGGTTCCACAATCCTACCTTAAGGATTAGTTATCCATTGATATTGTAAAAACAATATTTGCAAGATAGCTGGTATCTCTTTGTGTTAACCATTGCTAGCTCTTTCTTTAGAACATTTTTCACATAGTTTTAACCCGATTACCACAAAGTCATGAAAATTCTGGAAATGTGCTATTTTCATTATGAAAATGCACAAGAGTGTAAGCTTGAGGATCAAATAAATAGGTAAATCACATACTTATCATCGTATAAGGTCTATGAGGATTTTGAGTTTTCTAAACTCATCCCATATAAGTGCTTAATATTACTCCCAATATCATATAACTCATGCTCACATGTTTTAAAACATAACTCTTCCTAAATTTGAAATAATTACTCAAAAGATCCTCTTATTAGAGGTAGTACTCAAGACACATCATAAACATTTATTAAAATAAGAGGTTCTCTATTTTACATGTAAATATTTACATACATGGCAATACTTATTTCCCTTATACTCATTTTGGAATATGGAACACAATTTTCCTTATACTCATTATCATTTACTATATTTTTCTAGGCAATTTATAGATAATTGCAGAAGACTTCTCAAAACAGACTTGATAGGACTTTTGTTGTTGTTATGATTTTGTGATCAACGACAATAGCCTACAGTCTGAGTGCCTGCGAATCGAAGTAAGTATAGCAACCTAACCAAGGGTTCGGGTCGTGTCCTAATGGAGCGGTAGTGAAAATAGTAGTTACAATATAATTTTGTTCTAGTTAGTAGTACTTCAAGACGTTATCAAATAAAACAAAATAAATTTAATTTTCATCAATATCAAACTGGGATTTGTCATAAGTATTAAAAACAATTAAAACAAAGGGAGAATCAAGTATGGGAGAAAGTTCTTGGGGTGTGACCGCAATTTATTTTATCATAAACCAATAGTTACTTGATTTCGATAGAATTTCTTTTAAAATAATGGTAACTAGGCTAAGCTTTATGTGAAACTAAATTTCCTCTCAAGAAAAGTACCCCATATCAAATGGGTTCCTCTAGGACACCCACTCTTCTAATGAAGACAAATCGACGCCTTATCCACACCTCTTTTTTGAAGAAAGGTGCTTGGATATGAAGCTAGGGATCAACCTCTTGGGCTGAGTCTCTTGCCACCTCACTCCTTAGGACATCAATCTAGCGGTCTTAGTTTAGTGAACTCTCTCTCGAGCAAGCCAAAAACACATAGGTGTATTTGTATTTGTAACTAGAAACTCATCAACTTAAACCACAACAATTGGGTAAAATCACCATTAAAATACATCTAAACTTATAAACAAGCAAGATCCTACAATAACATCAACACATATTCGCTAAATCATACCCCAAGACTGAGGTTTTTAGCCATACATCAACGAATAATTAAATACACCCAAAATGATAATGAAATAAAATGGATATAAGAAATTAAACCTTAATATGATCAATGGAAGAAGAATGAGAGCACCCACTTCCAATTTGAGGAAGAAGAACCTCTTTCATCAAGTCTTCCATAAAAGCCTCTCCAAACATGAGAGAAAATATTAAAAATAAGTTTGAAAAGTGAAAATTAATAATAATGTTTGGACTCCGTAAAAAT